GTATGTATGTATGTATGTATGTAAACTTACAGTCACCCTAGTACTTCCACTTCGCTTCTTCCTACGTGAGTTTCTCTGGTCTTTGGCTTTCTGGTACAACTCGACAAGTTTGTCCGCTAAGTCGCTTCTGAACGTGGCGTTAGTTAGATCCTGATTTTCTGGTACACTGATCCCTATGATGACGTTATCAGCTTCCGAGGCCGTTAGGGAGTCTGGGATATAAACCTGGACTAAAACCTGTCGAAAGAACGAGACGAGAATCAAGCTGAAATCCAGTCACGCAAGGTTTGCTTCTTTTGTCACAACCGAAGGATAACTCGGAAGGTCTCGAGTTCCACCACTCTATTCGTTTTTGTAGTTTCCGTTAACACTTAAAAACGAGCACTCAAAACGCTAAGTAAAACATCACATTCTCTCTCAACGTGCTTGGGGGCAAAGAAAGTACCATACTACATATAATCACTGCACTATCCAATGTGAATTCTACCTGAACTTTAAGCTCTGCAGTGAGCAGGTTGAGGTTGGGAACTTTGAACGTTTCCACGACATCGCTCGCGTTTACTGCCTGGTCGCCAACGGAGATATAAAACTCCAGGTACACAATTTCGTTCGGTTCATGAAGGATGGTATTGATCTAAAATTGGCAATGCACTCTGATCAGTATTAAAACAAACAAAACAGGACTACGTTTCTAAAGAATGATAAGATCAGGTCAGTGTCTTGATATCGAAGGAAATTAGGATAGAAGAAAAGGCTTCTGTCTGGCTAATTGCGAACTCGGGTGTGGTCTAAGATCATACAAGACTTACACTGGCTGTTACTGTGGCTGTAAGCTGCTTCTGGTCCTTGTAATACGCAGCCAGATTGTCTTCCAGTCTCTTCTTATTTTCTGCAATGGAGACGTTGTTACTGGCCGAGTCCCGGATTAGCAAGGACACCAGTACATTTGCTGGAAGCGGTGGGGTTGTTGGCACAACCAGTGCTTCTGGTAAGCTGACAACCTAACAAAATACATCAAAAAATTGGTTTCATGTTTCATGTGTTTCAAGCGACTAGTTTTAACAACAGCACATTAAAACCATTTCCCATTTTTGCAGTCTGTCCAAAAGAAGACAATATTTCCGACAAATTACAGGAGGTATTTCCAAAATTGACACACTTACTTCTAAATTTATGAGCGATCCCAGCTGGGCTTTGGATAACTTCTGGTAGTTTTGAGCAGCTTCGGGGGCTGGCACGCGTTGACCATCTTGCGTGATAAAAAATGTCACATTTACGTCTCCTTCATTGTTTAAAAGCTTTATGGTGTCAATCTGTTGGGAGAAGGTAAAACGTTATGAACGACCAAACAAGCTCGTGTTGTTCGTGAACAACAGCTTACATTCGATTTCAACACTTTATATCAAGGCTCGTGCTTGAGGAGTCAATATCATTCGCAGATTTGTTACCAGGAGCTGCAAGTATTTCTGCTTCTTGCGAAGTTTCACTTAATTTGAAAGCAGTTAGCTCAAAACAGAATCGTCTCAAATTGTATGACTTTGACCTTTAAGAAGGGCCGCAATGGAACTAATTGTGGGAGCAATGGAATTAATCATTGATACAATTAGCACAGAAAACAAATTCTTGAGGAGCTTTGACAGGGTAATTTACCATAAACACCACTGGTGTTTTTTGGAATCAAAATATTACTGCTGTTAATAGTGATAGCTAAGTAGCAGCTTCACACGAAGGAATCTGTAACCTGCGAAAAGGAACAACCCCAAATAAAAACACTGTAGTACTCACAGTTGCATTGATTTCTGGTGTCGCTCTCTTCCTCCTTCTACGAGACAACTGGGCAAAGCGATAAGCATTTGCGAGCCTTTCTTCCAGGTCTGCTTTAAATTTCTCCGACTGGATATCTGTATCTGTAGGCACTTTAAAGATTGCTTCTATTAATAGAGAAGGATCTGGAGGTTGGGTTGGAGGGACAGTCACAGAACTTGATACCTCTTTGGAAACTGTTGCTGTTGGCGAAATCACTTGACTAGTGGGTATTTGCGTAGACGGCACACGAGCGGACGTAGATAAAGATGTGTCTTTCACACTAGGCACTGCAGTGACCGCAATGCTGCTAAATGACTTTTGAATCCTTGATGAGGAAACACTTAGGCTTTGACTTTCAGTCATTTCAGTTGACCTGACTATAAGTGTCGATGATACCATAACTGGACGCGAAGTGGTCGAGTTAACCACAGGTATAGTTGAGCTGATTATGACAATGGAAGAGCTCGCACTTGGCTTTACCGTGACATTTACCTGCAATGCAGTAGACAAAACTTGGGAAAACTGTGACCGTGTGGTATTAACGTCAAGGGTAGGCTGTACAACTACTGAGCTGGTATTCAGTGCTGCCGATGGTGACACTTGAATGACAGTGGTATTCAATGACTGCGTTACAATTGACAATACACGTGTGGAGCTCGCGTTAACTAAAGTCGTCGATGATGCGTTAACTGAAACTGTGGATGACACGATAATGGAAGCTGTAGAAGACATGTTGACCGGAGGTGTGGATACCAAACTGGGCTGCACAATCCTGGTGGTGTACACAACATAGCAGATTCCGAGACTTGAGATGGTCACTAGAGGAGGTCGATAAACACGAGAGCTTGAAGACACTTCCACAGATGAACTGACTGCAGTCTGTTGTACCTCGCTGGTTTGTACGGCTGAGGGTGATGGTCGAGTTAGTACAGAACTTGAAACTGCCTGACTCGATTGATCGGTGGTTGGGCTTGACAATGGGGCCGACGATGAAGGACTTGGTGAACTTGTGATCTCACTGGAGCCATGCAGAGTAGTTGACACCACAGAAATACTTGCTAAAGGAGAGCTACTAACGGTTGATGAAGAAGTAACACTTCTAATGTTAGTTTGTTGTGGAGATGAAGAAAGAACAGATATGCTTGATTCACCAGGTGGCTGATTGACACTTGACGAGACTGAAGATGGAGAAGGAACGACAACCACAAAAGAGGAACTCATATCTGGTAAACGACGTGAGGTGGATGCTGTTACACTTGCACTTCTTATCAATGTAGATGCCTGGTTCATGCTTGTGGTGGATTGAGCCAAACTTGAAGCACTGTCACTCAAAATAGCAGACGATGACATCAAATCTTGGGAAGATGTTGAAGGTGACTTTCTATTATCAACAAATGTGAATGACACGACCACATCTGAAGAGGGGCTCTTTACACTTGACGGCACACTTGAAACTGCATGAGGTAAAGTTGAAGTGCTATTTCCAAGCACTGCCGATGCGGATGGTTCCAGGTCCGAGGAGGATGTTGAAGGTAAAGTCCCATTATCCACAAACGAAGACGAGATTACAACAGCCACTGAAGAGCTTTGTACCCTTGATGACTCACTTACAACTGACTGAGGTAAAGTTGAAGTACTGTTACCCAACGCCACAGAGGACGTCACTATGCCACGTGATAATGAAGAAGGTGATGTAACCTTGGTGCTGAGCACAACACTAGTTGGTGATGGCGTCATTGTACCCACAACATTTGTTTCAGACAAATTAACATGGGCAGTCGTGCTTTTAACAGCTTCTGACGCTTGTAATACGGAGCTTTCCTTGCCTGAAGATGACATAAGCACACTATGAGACTGCGTACGAGTTCCACCAGGCGTTAGGTCCACATGTAAGGTAGCTGATGATGGGCTTTGTGCAACAGAACCAGTATGACTCCTTGTGACGTTAGCTTGTTGCGACGGTAATAAATGAAAACTGCTTGTTGCGCTCCCTGTTGCCATAACAACTGCCGATGAAACACCCGTGGTATCAACAGTGAGCATTGGTTCTGAAGCAGAGCTGGTGCTCAGTAAACCTGAAGGACGCACAACAATTGAAGTGGAGTTTCCCTGCGGCATTGAAAAAGATAAACTTGTTAGCAAGGCAAGTGTTGAAGAATGAACAACTGAAGTTGTGCTGTTTGTATCACCAACTGCTCGTTTCTTTCGGCGCCTTTTACTAGGTAATGATCCGGATGACGAGGCCACCATTGAAGACGGAGATGATGATAGGTTTCCCACAGCAGACGATCTACTGTCTGCCTGTGAAAATGAACTTGACAGAGCAACGTGAATACTGCTGCTAGCTTGAGCACTACCCACACCTGTTTGAGATGGTGTTACAGACAAAGACAGTACCATTGATGAGTGAGGTTCTCCAACGCTAGTACTCACACTAGACGGCATATGGATACTGGAAGATGAGAACGACTGTGCGCTGGAAGCAGACGTTTTGTTCTCTGCTTGTGAAAATGAACTTAACTCAGCAACTTGGGTTCTGGTGCTAGTTGGGCTTCCATTCTGAGAACTCACAACACTCCCTTTGGATACTACTGTTGATGGTGTCAACATTGCTAGACTAGCACTCGGTGATGCCTGAATGTTTGTGGATGAGACTTTCTCCGCACTAGAAGCGGACGAATCCACTAGTGCCATCGTATTGGACTGGACAACAGAAGAGTTCTGTGAATGAATAACACTTTCAACTGAGGCGCTAGCTTTGGTTGTTTCAGTACCACCCAAACTCACTTGTGAAGACACCGCTGTAAAAGTTCTGTCTTGACTTACTGTTGTCATTGAGCTCAGTAATACAGAAGGAGAGGAAATACTACTTGTCACAGTTTTGTCAGCAGCAAAAGAAAGATTTCTACTCGTGGTCGCAGATGACATCAAAGAGATTCTTGTGCTATTCATCATTGACACATCGGAAGATTCCAAAGCATTTGTAAATTGTGATGAACTTGTCACAACATGACTTTCACTTGAAGTTCCAGAAAGGATTATTGTTAGTGTCTCAGATGAAGCGCTGGTTTGGACGATACTTGCACTCTTTGTTGGCAAAATAGATCCACTAGGGGATTGTGTGGTTACTGGTTTGCTATCACTGGAGATGACTAGCGAGACTGAGCTAACAGCCTCAGTAGAACTGACACTTTGAGAAGGAAGCGATTCGGCAAGAGTGGAGACAAATGCCGTCGACTCAGCTGAGCTTCTAGACATAACAGAAGAACTTCTAGGAGTGGATTGAAGACTCTCATGTTTAGTGGTGGCTTGTGTAATAATTGATGACGAAGTAGCAGTGATAGAAGGTGTGGTCACATTCTGCATCTTTGAAATACTAGCACTGCCAACTATTGGGGTGAAGCTATCAGACAAAGTCATTGTACTAGAGACCGAAGCCTTGCTTGTCAGGGATGTACTCTGCAATTCCAACACTGAGGAGGTGACACGAGGAATGGCTAATGTACCAGACAGTGATGGTGTAGATTGCACTTTAGTTGAAAGTATGCCTGTTTGAAATGTACTGACATCACTGGTATTCCTTCTGTTGCCTACGATACTACTGGACATAGACGGCATCACAGATGCTACACTCAGACTGCCTGTCTGTACAACTGTACTCGTGGCTGTAACCATCGCCTTTGTGACTGCTTCAGATGACAAAAGAGATACTTTACTTGACTCGCGTTTCAATGTTGATGGGGGTGTGATCAAGCTACTGTCTGCCGAGACTCCCACCACGCCGGTTGAGGATGTTAGTGCAACAGCTGAACCAACCACCTGGCTCTGTGTTTCACTAGCTTGGGTTGGCATGGAAATGGTATGTGTTAATGTCACTGAAGGCAATCCTGACTGCATTCTGGAAGCACTTGCAATGTCTAACGTTATCTTAGGGGTGGTTGATGTTGATAAAGCTGCACTGTGATTAGCAGTTGCCACAGGAAAAACAGTCTTTTCCACCACATAATAGATGTAACAAGGAGTAGAATAAGAAGTAACTATAAACCCTTCATCTGTAGATGTCTTGCTTGGAGTGACAGATGCCGCTGCAGATGTCACTGTTTCTACAGATGACCTGGAGGGCATTACTGTTTCCAATGTGAGAGTGAATCCACCAGTCAAGCTTGATCGACTAGATCTTGAGAACAACAATCTTGATGATGCCACAGATGGTGCTGAGCTTGGACTTTCGCCCATAGCTGTTGGCGTGGGTGATATGATTCCTTCTGTTACTGAGCTTGAAGAAGCCACTGGTAATACCAGCTGACTTGATGATACTGCTAACGCACTTGACACTAGGGTTGATTCTTTCCCTGAGGTTGTTGCTATGGGAGACAAAACTCCAATACTTGACACTGTGGCTGATGTTGATTGAATTGTGGTATTTTGGGAGACCATGACACTTGATCCTTCACCTACAGCTGTAGTTACGGAGGATTCAAGTCCTACACCAACTGAACTTAAATTAGGTGCTGATGAAGTTTGTGAAGGAACAGTAGCAGATGGCAACAAGCCAGATGTTTTCACTGCAGTTTCATTAAGACTTGGAACACTTGAAGGTGAGACAGCTGATGAGTTGGTAACAGATCTTGTTTGGCTGACGAGTCCCATTGAGCTTGAAAATGACGAAGATTGGCCGGCAAAATTCACAGTAGAGCTACTGCTTTGCAACGCTGATAGAAGTGTAGAATCACCAGTATGTGTGGCAGATATTGTCGTCTTTATAGGTAAGACAGTTGTTGGCATTACAGTAGCATTAACTGTCTGAGCACTGGAATTCAAAGTCAATGCAACAGAATCACCTGCACTAAACATTTCACTTTCTGTGACAGATTTTGCAGTTGTACTTGCTAAGATTGTACGAGTTGAAAAGCTTTCAGTGGCAGTTTTTGAAGCATTAGTTAACATGTTACTAGTTAAGGGACTTGTTGCCAATGTTCTGTTTGTTGCTATGGCAATTGAACTTGATGAAACCATAAGAGAGTTCACCAGTTGAGGAGACGATGATCCTGCTATTGATGGACTGGGCAATTCTGTTGAAGAACCATTAACAGTCAATGTGTGAGACGGCTGGCTTTGACTAGAAATTGATTTTCCTATTGCAGATGATGAGTGTGTCGACAACAACGTTCTTGTAGCGCTAACAACATTTGATAGGTTCGCTGCTGAAGAAACAACAGAGGTCAGATATGACATGGATGTTGATGTACTACCCTGCTGCAATGAAGGAGACATGTCAGATGTTTGCAGTTGTTGAGATGAGGAAGCTGATGTCCTCGTGTTACTTAATATAAAAGCGCTTGAACTTTTTAGATTAAGAAATGAGGAAGATACTGATGAAGTATTTATAGAATGATTTGAACTAACAGTACTCAAGACAACATCAGTGCTAGTTTGACTAACACCAACATTTTGGGAACTTATTAAAGAAACTGTTGTTCCTTGACTATTGAACGTCCTTGTTCCTGAAATGGACAAAGCTGAAGTCTCTGTTTTTGTAATGCTGTTGCTGGACAGCAAACTTGAAGTGGCATTACTAGCCAGTTCCACAGGTGAAGTGGCATTATTTGCTGTGAAATTAAAAATTTTAAAAAAATGTCAGTTTAAGACACTGTTGACGGTGTTTACTGTTACTGAAAAATCCTGCTTTATGGACACCCACTTAATATGGGCTGCCTTATCATTACAAATGGTGGTATATCAGACGTCATAAATCCATACATGTACACGTAGGAGAATCAGTCACTACAGCCATATACAGCACTGTCATTAACGTTTGAGTGACCTGTAGCCTTGTTCTCCACACCCATAGTAAATTTGTTACTTTGTGAGTAAATTCTATCAACAACAGGCAATTTCACCCATACAATCAAGGGAAAATGAAGCATACTCAGCCATGACAGGTGTTATGGGTTACGGCCCTTAATGGCAGCTCTCATATATGTCAATGTGGTCCCCACAATGGTCTCCCGTGACAAACATCTGATTGAATCTTGCATGTATAATGTACATGTATGTATATGAACAGTGTGCACAACAAGATCAGTGTGCATACATGTATGTGTTCTTGTATACACAGGTTTTGTACATGCATGGACAAGAAATTCAGGTGTGATTATCAATAAGGCAAGCATTCATTAAGCTGGACCGAAATGACATATAACATGCAAATCTATAAAGTCTCTTATTAATAATCAAAATTCAATAACATGTCAAATGGGAAACTTCTACTTTCTTTTGTTCATTGCAAGTACAAAATGTACAACGTAACTAGCAACTACATGATCAAGATCGAAAAGAATTACAGAGCGGAAGTTGGAGTATTACTTGTGCAGTTTACTGGACAATGTGTCATCATAATTAACAAGTCAGGAACCCAAAGTCATGCACAGCGTAAATTGCAGTGTTATTTAACACCAATGGAGCAGAATTGAGAACATTGACAGGAGTTTAGAAATCATTTCCCACATTGCTCAACTGTCCTGCAAATAACCAGGGAAAGAGGTGGGGGAGAGGGGGGGTGGTGGGGTGATAGCTATAATTTGTCTACATGGCCTTGGTTTTTTTTTTTTTACACCTTACATGCATGACTTAGATTTAACATGCAAGAAGCAATATAAAATTAACCATGGGTTCTGAACATATCTTACAAAACATTGATTGCTTTTTAACTCATCAGGCAAATGTGTGGAAAATGTAAACTGCATCATAATTTGCCACATCAACTGCAAATTGCAACACATTAAATGCTCAGCACTGGAGCTGTACTTCAAGCAAATGTCCGATTTACATAAGGAACTTTCATAAAGCTTCTGATGAAACATGTCAGTTATCTGAAATGCTCTTAAAACTGTGTATTACGTTTCACTTTCTTGTGTTCAAAACTTAACAGCAGCTAGACCTGCATCAGGATCATACAAACTTAAAGACTGTCATCACAACTGGGCGGCGAAAAAAACTTTGAAATCCACTTGCCCAGTGGGCCAGTAATTTTCAGTTTTCACTTGCCCCCACTTAAATATTACTAGCCGACGTGGCAGCGAGTATGGCAATCAGAGGACAAAAGTGAACAAAGTATGCCTGGATGAATGCTAACTAATCCATGCTTTCAACTCAATGGTTACTAATCCTCCAGTCTTAAGTTCCGAAATAGCTTCTGACTGGAAATTATCATTTATCAAGCTAACATTTTCATTCAGACAGATTCACAAGACTACTGATGTTAATTTCACTTGCCCATCAGGCCACAGAACTTCTCTTTTCACTTGCTCAAGAGCACAATTTACTTGCCCTAGGCAATCAGACCTGGGTTTATTTTTTCTGCTCTGCATAATTTAAAAAAACCCAACTCTTTATAAATTTTCCATTTCAGTCTCAAAGTTGAAGTTACGTGTATTCTGCATGGTGAATTAAGTTAACATTGAACATATGTTATTAGTAGCTTCGCTCAAACAACTGACACATATTTCAGAAAGAAAACATGAAATGGAAATTTTTAAACTCAATTATCACTTCATTTATTGAAAATCCTTCGGGACTACTGCAGCAATTAGTTCTCAATTGTTTCCCAACACTTCAAAACAATATGAGGACAATGTGAAGATTTCAAATTTTTGGCATAGCAACTTTAATATAACAGTATTCCAGAAGTTCATTAAAAAGTTGGCAAACTCTAGAATCTGTCTATTTGACCTTAAATACTTATGTATATCAGGATCATTACGCAACTGAAGAATCATCTAGAATTGAAACCTTGTGCTGTTGAATGACTTACGAAAACAAAGAAATTTGAATTTGAATTTCCGTACAGCTTAAGATACTAACAAATATCTTTAGAAGCTATAAAGTGCAAACTTGATCTTCAGATTTTCAGGTTGTTTTAATTTATCTTTTGTAGCTCTTAGCTACACAGATTTTTGAAATTCCATGATTTTAGGGTTAATTATAAAGCGGCTAAAAAATCTAAAGCAAATAAAATTTCAATTGGTAGTACCGAACTCTAACGAGCTTATATAGCTCACAGAATCAAGTTATGCGTGATCCGTCTGGCTGGACTGTCTCGTATTGAGCTTTTATAAGTAGAAAGCTTGAAACCATTAGATAGCGATCTATTCTGCCAAGGTGCTCCACGCGTTGCAATTAAAAATATACGCATGGGAGGTCATAGCTTTCTGGCAAATAACATTTGCAAATCAACGTGGTTCTTTCCGTTCGCGATGTCACGTCCGAGAAAGCGATGACAACCAAACAGGAATGACATAGGCCTATATTTCACGAATGAAGCACTGACCTAACTTAGATATAAAATATTAAAACAGTAACTACAAATATGAACAGGCAAATGTGGTTCAAGAACGTTTATAGTATTCGTGTACTCGTAAAATAATAAAGCATCTAAGCTTATATTGGCTAATTTGCAATAAAAGCGTAAAATGGATAACGAATCTTACCATATGTTGATGATAATTCTGCTGTCGAAACACCACCATTTGTCCTAGATGATATACTTTGGATTCTTGTGAACAGCGTACTCGACGATATACTTGGCAACACACTTGAAGCGAAGCCTGAACTAAGAACAGAGCTTGAACTGGTTGCGTCCAATTTCGCCGCAAACAAAACAACTAACACGGCAAAACCTCTCCATAACAGGTCCATACGAATCCTTATTTCGCTCGTAAACTGCCACATTACGTTTGACTTTTTATCCGGTTCATCTGGATTGGTAGTACAGCTATTCGTTCACTTGGAAATTAAATATGATCGTTGCTTTCAGGCTGTTTTGCGACCGCCATTTCCATAATTCCATGACAACCATGCTCTGTTTTGTCGTCTTGAACGACGCGATGCCGAAAATAGCCCGACGAGGTCATGTGATCTTTTCCGATATCTAGTTCAAAAGTGATTTATCGTATATGTTCCTTTGTGCCGTATCAGTCCCATATTACTATATTTCGGTATATCGAGTTTTATAACTGCAAGGATTCACTTTTTGTAGTTATTTCAAAGCACTTTATCAAAAAAAGAAAAAAATAATAATTTCGACAGAAACAGTCACGCAACAATTCTTGCATGACGAATAATTGTAAACCTAATTCCCAGCTTTTCTCTCCTAGGCTTCAGATTGAAATGAATGAATTGATTTCTCTCTTTTTCCAGCCGTTCTTGAGGGACAAACGCGCAGGGAACCATTTTGAAAGCACAGCTTTTGTATTTTGTGCTCGCACTTCACGTGACTGATGCCAAATTGTCTATAAGTTGCATACCAGAGCAGTGACGTGTCATCAGTCACGCAAGGACAAAGTGATCGATTACTTGTGAATATTTTTTGCGGAGCATCAAGATATTACATTGCCATTGTTCGCCGACATCAAACTAGCATTTAACAGGTGGTGTGACAAACTTCATTTTAGATCTGTTTTCACCTGCTCTCATCGGGCATAAATATTTACGCGGGTGTCTTCAATACAGCGCCACTACCGTAATCATGGGGATCGGCACAGGCAGATTGTTCATCCATTCGATTCGACCATCGATAACGAAATGTCCTCAGTTCGAAAGCGTTTGAGCAGCTATGGACAGCCAAGCTAGTGGTTTTGGTCGACAAAATGGAGATTTTCAAGGATCTAAGGATTCCTCTGCCAAAAACGTTCGAGTCGCCAAGCCTAACTCGCTTAGGAAAATTTCAACGCGGAATTTTGACAGCCGCGCTTCTTGTGATACCCACGTTGCAGGCGATCTTGTGGCAGCGGGAGCAAGATCATTTTAGTTCTGAATTTCGTTGTGGAGTAAAGGATGGAGATGTCGATAGCGCTGTGAGCGAACGAGAGGACCTTACATTTCAGTTCTTCCAAGACTACACGAACAAATACAGCGGCGTTTCGCAGGGAATGTTTGTAATTTTCGTTTTACTGAATCTAATAATCGTCCATTTCTACATGTCCTTTGTCTCCGATCGATTTAATTCGTGGCTCAAGCTTAGGACGACAAAACAGCGTGGCAAAATTCTAGCCGAGTTGAAGGGTTCGACTGCTGTGTTTAAAGCTCACTCTATTCAACTCGGCCTGAGGTTGATGTGTGCCGTGATCTTTATTGTTTACAACTGCCTCGCGCACTCAATTGTCTTACCCACGGAGAGGGAATATCTACCTTTCGACGCAATCTCGTTCGCTACTGCAGTTATATGCTACGCTGATCAAGCTTTCGAATCATCAATCTTTAATATAGCTTTGTTGACCTTTGCGACATTTTCTGGCACTCTGAATTTGACTGAACTCGTCTATACTTGGCAAGAAACGAGCGCCTTCGAGCGAATCTCAGACTATTATTTCTGCACGCTTTTGTTACGGCACAATAGCGTGACAGAGTCCACTAATATGCTGATAGAGAAGGAATTGTTCTTGGAAAAACAAAGGGAAAAGATACGCGATAAAAAGAGGCCAACAGTCCAACTACCACTGATGAAGTCTAGTAATGCAACAGTACACAGTATCCCTTGTAATTTATTCATCTCTCAGCAGAAACTGAAATATAGAGGAGTTAAGAAACAGAAACACAAGCAAGAATTATTCAGAACTTACAGCAGAACTAAAAAAATCCCAGTTCGTTCGCTTGAGGACTTGTTAAAACCGAATAGAGACTCGGCGACACCGAAGAGAATCCTTGTAACCGGGGCAGCGGGAATTGGAAAAACGGAGCTCACATTGCAGCTTGTGGAGCAATTCAATACTGCAGAAAGCGGATTTTGCAATCTTAATTTTGTTTTCATTTTCAATTTCAAAGAACTCGCTTTTATCGATAATCTCATTACTTTGCAAGACTTTCTTAATCACTCGGCTTTTTGTTCGAGACTGGGGGACATTGTGTACCGGAAGATTGCGTCAAATCCAGAAGAGGTCCTCCTTGTTTTTGATGGCCTCAACGAGTGGACTGTAAAGTCGTTCGTACAGCACACCTGCACGGGAGGAAATGAAGAGAAAATGACCGTGTCTTCTATCGTCTTAAAGCTTCTTTCCGGAGAACTTTTACCGGAATCAACTATCATTGTCACCTCGCGACCAACACCCTTGCTATCGGAGATAGTAGAAATGGTGGCATTTGACCGGTATGTAGAGCTTGGTTGCTTTAAGCCAGAGGAGCTCAAGATCTACATCCAAGAGTTTTTCCAGCACAATAAAGAGCTTATCGCCACAGTGAGAAATCGCATTTCCAGCGAACCGAATCTTCAAGTTCTTTGCCGTTTACCTGAAAACTGCCATCTACTTTGTTTGTACTTAGACTTCGTGGCCTCAACGAGAACGTCACAAGAAGTCCAATCTCTCGAGTTACCCTCCTCGACAACAGAAATCTTCGGGAGATCAATTGACACAGCAACAAACGCAGAATCCGACCAAAGTGAACACAAGACATTCCCATCGGATCACGTTATTTTCTCAAAGAACTCTCTAGAAGTCTTCGAAAAGCTCTCGTGTCTCGCTTTTGAAGGAATAATGAACGAAAGGTATGTCTTTAGAAAAGAGGATCTCTCCCATGTTGAACTTAGTGCATTCGAGGCTGACTTTCTTGAGGAAGCTGGCCTTTTATGTCGCTCACGAGGCAATCTACTCAGACAAGCGGACGTATATTGCTTCAGTTGCCTTTCAGTCCAAGAGTATCTTGCCGCCAGAAGAATTGTTCAGTCTTCCTCTATAGGCGATTTGCGGGATTTTCTGGAAAAAGCCAACGAGAATCACTGCGCTACTTTGCAATTCGTGGCTGGGTTATGTAAAGATGGAAAGGAAGGCAGGGGCCTTTTTGTGTGCTTGATGCAGCACTTAACTGAAGCTATCAAAGTGAACAGCTTTGTCCACGAACCAGTGATCGATAACCAAGCAATCATTTTTCTCTGCAAATGCCTCTTCGAAAACGGGACTAAACTGGGCCATCCTTTCGCAAGAGAAGCAACCTCTTCCATATCGTCAAAGCCTATCGTCTTCACAGAAATTGGCACGGACCCACTGGAAACACAAGCGATTCTTTACTGCTTGAAAGAGGCCATTGGGAGCAATGTAAAGAGGGTCATCTTCGAGAGCAATGCTATGGAAGACGACGGGTTCCGTCAGGTGGCCACCTCCATCTGCGAGGAGTCCTGCAAGTTGGACCAAGTTAATCTGACAAGCTCAGGTATCACAGAGGACGCTATGCTGTCGTTCCTGGAAATAAGCGCAAGCCACTCTTTTCTTGGAATAAAGATTCTCGGGCTGAGAGGCAACGACATCTCAAGCGAGGGGGCGAGATACCTTGCGTGTTTGCTCTTCAACGACTGGTGCCATTTGGAAGAACTCCATCTTGGCAACAACAGAATCGGCGATCTGGGTGTGGAATATTTCAGTGAAGCCCTTTGCAGCGGAAGCAGCAGAATTCACACTTTAGACTTGAGTTCCAATGGAATAACCCACAACGGTGTTTTCCACCTGAGCAGGGCTCTCAGAAGTCCAGTTTGTAATGTCAAACGACTGTACCTTCAGAAGAACAAAATTCTAGACTTCGGCATGCAAGATCTCTGCGAATCACTTTGCACGGCAGATTGCAATCTAAGGGTCTTGTTCGCAAGTTCCAACGAGATCACTGACGACGGAATCATGTTTGTGGAAAAGGCTCTGGCACACAAGTCTTGCAACCTACAAGAGCTCTACCTTGGCTACAATCTAGTAACTGACAAGGGTGTTAAGAGTTTGCTGCAAGCATTGCCTACTCAGCAAATCAACCTGAAGGTTTTGTCCCTGGCCAACAACCCAATAACGGATGTTGGTGTGAAAATGCTGGCCCATGCCTTGAGAAACTCAAGCTGCAATCTACATCGTCTTTGCATAAGTCTAGGAAGGCCACAAGTGGCTGCCACCAAGGCTTCGAAGCTCCAAGTACGATACGTTAATGCCTTCTAAACGAAGGGTTCTCGTAGAACCAACAGGAAAACGGCTCAATCTTGAAACTTCCTGTTTGTAGACACTACGTCAAACGTTTTCCCAGTAAGCAGTGTCTTTCCGGATAAGAACCATTTTTGCCATCAGACCTTTCGTTTTTATTGGTCACCAAGGTTTGCATGCCCCACCAAATTGCCCCAGCCAAACGAATTTGGTGACCCTTTTTACCATTGTTGCTACGCGTTTGACAATACGTTATTTTGTACTATTTGTAGCCCGGCATAGATGTCATTTTGGATCACTGACGCTTAGCGTTTCGAATTTATTTTGATTAGTAAAGCCCTCGATTCAGTAATTACAGGTCATATTAGCGATACAACGAATTCTTTCAAAAAAACAGAATTTCTTTTATAGCTGAGGGTTTAAATGAATCTTTAGCAAATACCTTTAAGATACGCATTGTTATATCTTATCCTGAAGTATCGCTTAATTCAGTCACTGGAATTTAAAAAGCACTAGATTAAAACCAATGTCATGACTCTAGAGTATTCAATAAATTATTTTTTGCTGCAGGTGAAGCTTCCGTTCCCCCGTCCTACTGCTAAATAAATAAAATAAAATAAGTTAACACGTTTCACGGACGTTGTGTGGCATTCGTTCAGAAGTAATAAACGAAACCGTCGCCTTGAGCATCATTTGCTCCTGGAAATTAAGTTAGGTACAGATTAATTTTTGTTGTCATGAAGCTCTTTAGAGCCTCTGATTTCATTGGATCTTGTTAGCACGAAGCTCTATTGTTTTAAGCCTAGGGTCCATTGTTACTATTGCTCGTATAGCATTTTCTCAGCCAATCCTGTGAGACGTTCCGAGGAACTTCGTTGCGATCCATGAATTCGGAAGCAACACCCCCTTCAGGCTAGTGTCCATCCGCCATCTTGAAATGAAGTTCGGATATCTTTGGGGAGAAACGCTGCATTGATTGTTAGTAACATTGATTGGCCGTTGAAATTACCCGAAAGGAATGCCCTCTGTTATCTTGCCTGACGGAAGGATTTAGGGCCTGTTTACAAGGAGAGAGGGTTACCCTAGCAAGCGGGTTACCCTAGCACTCAGACATTTCCTCTTTTTATTTCGTCGTGTTTACAAGGCAGCTAGGGTTACCCGGGTAGGCGGGTTACTCTATCTGCGTGCCTAGGGTTACCCTGGCAGGCGGGATAGCTTTTACCATTGTAAACACTCCAGGTAAGGTTAACCCGCCTCTCCGGGTTAACTTTATAATTGTTTCTAGATCCTTTGAGTGTAACTGCGCACTAAGTTGTCCCGCGGGATGTAGGGTTACCCTACCTGTGAAATTTCCTTGTAAACCCGGGCTATATTTTGCCCTCCAGCTAAGGTTAACCCGCTTGCTAGGGTAACCCTCCCTCCTTGTAAACAGCCTTTAGGGGTCCTCTGTTTTAGTGAGAAAACTGAAGAATCGGAGGCCGCGGCTGAAGGTCGCCTTCCGGTACAATCTCACTTACAGCTATGTTGAGAAGGTCTAGCTTAACTTACCAACAACAAGAACTTGAATTTCGACAGTGTCCTCTGTTTCTCTGGGTCTGCCCGCTTTCCAGACCACTGTGCACGAGTAGCTTCCTTGGTCGCCTCTCTCCACCCTAGCGATTGTTACAGAGCCACTGTAGAGATCAACAGACTTTCCTTCCATGGGGAGAGTCATGGGCTGACCACCTTTCCGCCATTCGTATTTCAGCGGGGGGTAAGCGGATACCCCCAGTTCAATCACTCCAATCTCGCCGAGTTTCAGCTGTTGTGGTGTCTTCACACCATGACTTACAACTGAAAAAAAGATGACAAATACTTTAAAGTGCAACCTCGATATAACGACTAGCCAAAAGACGGCATGGCAACTGACGTTCGCTATAACGAGGTTTTGTTATATCGCTGTTCTTTACCATATATTTACTATTCCTGGGGCGAAGAATATCGTTTTTTATACCGAGGATTTCGTAATGTAGAGGTTCGTTAAATGGAGTTTCCACTGTAATTGGATCCAATGTACCAGGAATCACTTTGATTGCTTTCCCTTCGTGTAGGCAAAAAATATATAATTTAGAAGAGCCAGTCCCTTGACATGAGGAATAAATAATTAAAAGTCACTTTTTGAAGGAAATTTAGTCAGAATTCTACTATAAGTATCAGATTATTCGCTCTCAGTTTCTATGAGGTGATGGTTGATTTGGCCTTGAGCTTCATCATTCGCCTGCGTTAGAAATATCGAGCTCATAATCTAACTGTTTAGCAGGCCGTCCATCTTTCGCTATCGCTGCGATGGCTTAATATCTTCCACTTACAGTCGACGTCAAGAGTGAAGCTCTCTGATTGCCTAGATCCTTTGCAGTAGTATTTTCCACCATCTCTGACTATCACGTCTCGAATTATCAAAATGTAGTCGTTTCCAGTCCTTTCGACGCTTAGTCGTCCAGAGCTCTGTTCCAGTGTAATATTTCTGCTCTCAATAGCTGGTTGTCCAAGACTGGCTTCCCTAGAGGGCGTTTCCCAGGCAAGAAAGGTCTCTCTTGTGACATTGCATTTGATCCTTCTGGTTCGAAACTGCTGTGCGGTGATTCTTCTGAACGGGAGGCTGACCTCAGCACCTAAAAGGTGAAGCAGTCTGCTGTTTGGAATTTATCTAAAATACGACTAGCACAGAGATACAGAATGGACGCGTAGGTCATTTATCAGTTCTTTAGCACATACGTCGATCGTCCGCAAACGGTCGCCATCTTAAGCTCATATGAAGTTCATGCCTTGTTCACTCTCCTTCGTCACCAGGAATTTTGGGTATATTTCGCGAAAAAAAACATAATTCACGAACAAAGCGAACCCTCTCCAAAAATTCGCCGAGTTCTGTACAGGCACCATGTTGTGACGTCATGATGCTATCAAAAGTGGTAATTGTGCTGGACTGTTTAAAATTACAAAACGATAAAAGTGACTTAGTTGTGGCCAATGTACTATAGCCATTTTGTTATTACCACCTTTGATATTAATGTCAAATTTCTTTGTGCAAACGATATGCGGCAAGGCAATGAGCATTAAACAGAACTAAGATACTTTGTGCTGATAAACCCCTTTACAACTCCGTACATTGCCATATTAAATATATGAACTTGAAACTCCATAACTTTTTAAATAATGTTGAGACGAATCTGCAATCGATAACTCTAACCCCTGGTTTACGGTGAACGTTCAGTTTTCTTCCCATAGCCACCTCAGCTATATGCAAAAATATCCTACTTTAGTATATACCACACAAGTGAATAGTGCTTTTCGCCCACTCTGATTGGCTAACTCCGAGGTGATTACTATTCACCTCCACTTCGGTAAATAATTGTTAATGATAATCCATCGAATGTTCTTGCTCGCGAGCTATTGGTTTTAGGGACTGTGCAATAATTACCTGGGTGGGGGGGGGGNGGGGGGGCTGGGAAATGGTTGAAATATGCCCCAAAACTAAGTCATACCCCATCTCATTAAGTAAAAATTAACTTCAACCCTCCCTCACATAATGATAATATTAAGACTATCCCCCCCCCCTTGAAAAAAGTCCCCTCCCATTGATTCCGTCATACCTAGTTTACTTGTTGGAGTTCTTCCTCCGGTACAAACATCACTTCAAATGACTCTTCGACGTATGTCGAAGAGTCAGTTGAAGAGTCATCACCTTAGAGTTGATAAATTTGCCACTTTTATTCCAATGTTAGTATTTATGTTTGAACTCTAATAACTCTTCCACTACTTTTCCAGGTTGCAAAAAGGGATGAAAAAGTAATGCCCCCCCTGTATGTATTAAATTTTACATCCAGCCCCCCTTCTCTCTTGTTGTCATTTTCTCCTATGCCCCCCCTAGTTTTACAACCCCCTCCCCTCCAGGTAATTATTGCACAGTCCCTTAACGCGTCAAGTGACTGAATATTCCTCAGCTAAAACTGGGGAATATCCGAGTGATATTCCTCAATTTACAAAACTGCGCACTTTGTGAAAAAGGCTTGAATAGCCTCCATTTAGCGTGAAAATATGCTCGGATATTTGTCCTTGGACATTATCTGTTCGTCGAAGCTCACAGTTTACCTCGAGCTTCACTCTCGGGAAACTGTTCAATTCTCGGAACAGATAAGAATGTTCGCGCTCAAATGTCCGAGCATATTTTCGCGCCAAATGGAGGCTATTGTTTATATATACAAATCAAATCAAATCAAACCGTTTTTCGCACAATTTTGGTAACAGAGACAAAGAAAATACAGAAAACAATAGAAAAGAAATGTTAGTCACATACAGTCGAACCTCTATTAAGCGGCCCCTATTAAGCGGCCAACCTTTATATGGCGGTCAGCGGCCAAAGTCCCGGAAAAATTGTCAGCTATACACTGTAATACTGAAAACTTCTATTCAACGGCCACCTCTATATTAAGCGGCCAGTTGTCTCGTCCCCGAGAGCAGCCGCTTAATAGAGGTTCGAGTGCAACTAAGAAATATAATGATGTGCGAAGTTAAATTCGTGTGCAGTAACTAGAGCTAATTGGAGCTGCTGTTTATTCAAAGACAAAGGAATTGAAATTAAAGAGTACATTTACAGCTACTTACTAGTGTTACAAGTGGTTATTACCAATAGCATCACGGTGATGGAAACTTTTGCTGCTGTAAACATATTGAGGCAATCGCAGACCTAGACAATGTTCCAACCAAACATGAATTTAGTGCGAAAATATATAGAGAAATGCTTGAGTGACAGATGTGCTCAAAGAATGAGAGTTAACTAAATTAAACATTGCTTGTTGGTGCGAGGTTGTTAAAGTTCCTCCCCACTTTTGTCTCGAATTTAGTCTCCCTTGAGCTAGCATTAGAAGTCGTTCCCGGTTCGAGAGGGTGAGGAGTGCATGAAGGTCTGGAGCGCGAGTTCTTCTGGTTCTATTTCCTGACGCAAAAGACAACCGTACAAACTCAAGTTGAGGTGGCCACGAAACCTTGCCAGTACAAGGGTGTTAAAGCTTTGTTTTGATTTTGCAAGTTAGATCATAATTATTTGCGTTTTATTTCCGCGTGCACAGACTCCTTCCCGCCGGATCACTTTGTTCTTCGCCGCTCGCACGTGTGACTCAAAGCTGAGCCTGCTCGCAGGCTATGTGCAAGCCAAGCCGAGCCTGTGAAGTAATAAGGTTACAAAAGGGAAGATTACAGGAAATTATATTTTTTTCCAGAAAATAAATCCAGAATGCTTTTATTTCAAAAAGAAAATGAAGGAAATATAGCATTAAAACGACCTAGAACGAGCCCTCATCAGCTACGTATGGCACGTTGCATAGCAACAACGCACGGGACCGCGGGCTCAATTGATTCTGTGAAATGAAAAATGCAATGAGTTGATCTGATGAAGGCAAAGTTAAGAAATTAGCATTTTTAATTTAGGAAACCTACGATAAGCTACAATAGCTGTCACTTTTGCGTACCATTAGTTCACTCGACACAACACTTTTATGCCAAAGGAACCGCTTAAACGATTCAACTGTAAAGTCACCATTTGTTGAATTTTTCAGCTGCACTCAAGCCGTGTAATACCAAAATCGTCAAGTCTTAAATTTCAAACTAGAACCACATTCATTTCCAACTGATAATTTAAAGCCAGTCATAATGAGATTTACTACACTAGCTATAGTAGCCTGATTTCAGAAATAAATGAAAATTGCCCGGCCGCTTTTTAGTTCAAACGTTTCTTTCACAGTCTGCTTACCGGAAAAATAGCAACTGATGGCAAAACTAAACATTCGTAGTTCAAGTTAATTATAGATCCGCATTTTAATGAAATGTCAAATTTACTTGGTTAGCTGATACGAATAAGTCAAATTTCAAAAACAGAAGACTAACAAAATGCAGCCTTGTTTTGTCTCGAATCTGCATATTGCTTTGTGGCTGTTCTTTGCGGCTGAAAGTCGATCTATTTATTTAGGCAAGAAAGAGTATTCTCGCTAGCAGTTAAAATTCCTGAGATATAGTTTGAAATTTTAATAGTCTTATCTATGGAAACAAAGGATTTACTTGAAAATTTCCATCACTGAGCTATAAAACGTGGACAATCGCAATCTGAATTGGGTTAGAGTTTTTTTACACAAAGCACCTGCATGAATATACGATGTACGACTTCGTTTCGAACTTTCGTTGGGAAGTTGCCTTGATACAATGTAGGCTATTTAAAATGGACAGAGGCATCGCTCGGTTTAATTTTGCACTGCCTCGCTAAGTTTGATCATTCATTTCGCGTTCTGAATATTAATTGTCTCAGATCATCATCTAGGCGCCAAATATATTAAAATACGTCGCCTCGCTAGACGCCGATGTACATAGATGAAGGTTCGAAAAGGTCACGCTTAAGATTTCAAATGAGCATGTGTTCATCCAGTTTGCTAGAAAATTTGATCACTTTTCATTTATAAATACTTACAAAAAGCGTCCTGAAAAAGTCCTCACTGCTGCCAGACTTGGAAATAACCCCGTTGTTTGATCATGTTCAGGTCACTTGTCACTCTGCAAAGTATGCTAATGTGGACGTTTAAACAAATATGTGAACAGGAAGGTTCAAGTTTTTCTAACAGAAAGCCCTTGGCTGATGAAAAAAATGCAAATCGTTATGAGTCTCATGAGCTTCTCGTGGCTTCCCTCCCGTTCAGTTAAGGTGAAAAGTGGGTACGTTATTTTAACCAATAGCGTGCGAGAAAGTGTTTCAACTTAGGCCCGGTCCACACTACACCGAAGGAATTTGAAAACGTAGTTTTATTTCTACGGCTAGCCCCACCGTCCACACTCCGTCACGAAAACGGAGCTTCTCGAAAACGTTCTTCAAACCGGAGGAATTTGAAAACGCCGGCTTTGCGTTTTAGTGTGGACGGAAAACATTATGAAAACGGAGCTTTTCGAAAACAATGAAATCGCGATAATAATAAAGTGATTTCCCTACCCGAGTTTTCCTCAAGCACAAATCCAAAATGACCGGTTGCTGCGTTGTCAAATTTCTCTGGCGTAGTGTGGACGGAAAACATTTGATGCGGTTTCAGGGTGAAAACGCCGTTTTGAAATTTTTCTGGCGTAGTGTGGGCGGGGAGTTAAAACTGCCCGTAATCCGAAAATTTAAGCCGGAGCTAATCGCCAGGGAGAAGCCCTTCTTGGAGCAAATAATGAAATGCTAATGGTCAAAACGCTTCCCAAACGCGCGAAGGCGCTAAGTTCAACAATTAGTCTGACTCTGAAATAGCTCAATAGCTTTTTAAAACAGGTATTTCTTATTTCTCCAGACAAAAACCACATAGACATCAACATGACTCCCACCAATAAAAAATAAGTTTATTGAATATTCCGAGCCTTTATCAGGCTCCAAAATCAATCAATGTTCGTTATAAACAGCGAGCACCATTCATAAAACGGTTGTTCTAAAACTCCTTGTGATTCATTGCCATCATAGAATAAAATAGACTTTTTACACTTGCCATACACAAATCACAACCCCAAGACTCTTCCACAGGGCCGAAGAAAAACGAATTTTCCCGACGGAGGACGAAGACATCCGAACAGTGAAGGCAATGAAGCAATAGCCCTTCGGGAGAGAGTCTTTCTAATTTGCATTTGTGTATGGAATAATTAAGTTATCGCCTATAAACTGATAACATATTTCAAAGGAGACTTTCGATATCAAGACCCACAACAATAATTCACACTCCCAAATGTTACAAATGGTGTCACTCAGTTAGAAATTCACGAGGATATACAAGGTCGTGTGTACCATTAGGTTCAAATTTCTTGAAAACACCAGGCCCGGATAAGGATCAAACAAACAATAGTCTTTAAAATATCTGGTTATTTCCTTGAAAAATATAACTGCCAACAATTACCTGGTTTATAGTGAAGGGAAGCTATTAAGCCACTTTAGAAGAGTCATCGTGTTAATCATAATTCTATTATCTTCCATTCAACGACTTTTTTATTCTGGAGTAGTTGTAAGGCTTAACTATTGCACAATACAAATTTTTGAAGGTGGTTGCAGCAACACCCATTACTAACAAAGATATGACGCTTATTGTGTTCGATTTACGTTCAATTCTTATAAAGAACAAAATATTCGCTTCAATGTCGATTTTCCCAGTTAAAATTACTCTCAAAAATTCTGTAGTAATATTCACGCCTAATAATACCATAACTATGTAACTGTTTACATTATTTCACCACTCCTAATCTGATCCAATGAACAGTGAAAAAATAATGAATCGAATTATACAACACAGAAATTAAGCCTTTCACCTCAAAAACGATATCTTTTCTTATCTTCCAAGAGATTCTTAATAAAAAAAAATGCTACATCGTCACTCATCGATTATAGGTCTGAAATGTGCTCATATCCCAGACATCAAGTCAATGATTAAAAGCTATACTCACTTCACTGTAACAATATCGTCACCAGCACAAACGTAATGAGAATACTGAAAACCAGCAGGTAACGAGAATGGTCTTCGAGTACTATAAGCCTCTTAGAAAGAATTACAAGCAAAATCAGTAAAGAATAAATATTCTAAGCTTGGCTGCAAGGTTATAAAGCAACCACTACCTACACGACACATGATACGGCCGTCTGGGTAATCTAGTCTCTACAACTCTTTATCTATTACTTATGTGCAAGAAGAAAAACTGTAATTCTATTCAAAACGGAGATAACGGCTAAAGGTCACGCATTTAAATGACCACATACCTTCCCAACGTAACAAACAGCGGGTAATTGTAAGCTATTTGAGAATTCAGTATAATTTAATATTTAATAGTTATTACCTGCAGAATGTCTTATCAACTTCGGTATAATTTAATATTCAATAGTTGTTATCTGCAGAATGGGTTCTCTTCAAATCTGATCCTGTATCTAACAACTACTTAAGAACGCACGCCAAACATTTGCCATTTACACTTTTGAAGTGCTGTATAATTTCAGTACGCTATTCACTACCGGGAATAAAACCTGATTTAGACATGCCTAGGCCCTTGCGCATAATATAAATATCTTAGCTGCTAAATATCACGTCATTTAAAATACTAATATACAATTAAAACCTCGCAATCTCACAGCTACAAGCACGGACCCGGGTTCGATAGACAATACCTCACCTCTTTGTTATAATTATAAATTAATGAACACAACAAATCGAGTATACCTTGATAAATTAAAATTGATTATCTGCAAATAATGAGTTCTCTGCATTCCTACACTTACGAATTCACAGTTCCTACGTTCGAAAATCTTAAAACTGGTCAATTACCTCACTGTAATCTGAATCACAAAGCGCATTACTTGCTTCCAATCACTTCATTGTCACTCTTATTTAAACCTTTTTTTGTTTGTCTATCTCATTCACGCATTTTTTTTGTGTGATTTTTTTCACTATTTTTCACTTCGACACACGACTCATTTCACTTCCCCACCGAAGACACTACTTGTGAAATCATGGATAAAATAGTCGCTGCTTTGTCGGACTTAGAATATACCTGCCATACGGGTTATATGAACTGCTTGGTAAAACATTAAACGTTTTTACGGCACCAACCACTGGAGCCTGATATCGCTGATTTACAAACGACGGAGGTGCTTGGTAACCTACGCCTGCTAACGAGAGGCCAGGTTGGACTGGGGCCGGACAATTTCCGTGAGAAAGAACCTGCCTTTGCGGGAGGCCTGGATTTACAAGCGATGGTCCAGCGCCGCCTGTTGACGTCACGTAAGAGTACGGCACGTGACCTGACACTGGGCCTGCCGTAGATATTCTCGCAACTCCGGTGTACAGCGGTTGTGAAACATACTGCGTATGCGCGGGAGGCAAGATCACCAAGGAGTTCCCCTCGTGAAACGAATCGTTACCACAGCAACGCGGTTCATTTCCAGACACGAGTAGAGTTTGCGAAGGGGGATAGGGTAGTGTCGGCGAAATGTACGTCGGCCCAACGTGTTGATTGTAATGCGGAATGATACCCAAGGAACTGGGGCGAGATACTTTGGTTGGACTGCGGTGAGGTGCTGCGGGCTCAAAGGGATGCGTTGAGAACCGAGCAGGTTGCATTTGATCGCTGGTGAAGTGGTTAGCAAGGCCAACCTGCTGCGAACTGGCAGCCACAGAGATTTGATTCTGTTGACCGGGAAGCTGGCCATAATTGTTCGTCACTTCCGTTACTTCTCCTTTCTCGTCAGCGCTTTCGGTGTCAGAACAATAAATCATTGCACTGTCTTTAGCGTTTCGATGATCATTAAAATTACCCGCAAGTCTACTGGGGTGTCGAAAGTCTTGAGAGTTTCCATATGTTGTAGTAGAAGACACCATCTCGTCGGTGGAGACACCGCTGGCAAATCCAGCATTACCATGGGCGTGCTCTATGGACTCGTTTAATCCGGGACTCGCGCTTCCAAGAGAAAACGATGACGTCACTATACAATCCTCGTCATCTTCGTCCTCGTCATCACCGAATCCATCACAATGATCGTCGTGTTCCGTGACGTCACATTGCTCGGGTTCGTCATCGTCGACGTCATCATCGTCGACGTCATCCTCTGCGATGTCGTGCGAATTGCGACCAGTTTTGTTTGTGTCAAGCGAGTTAGGTTCCATTTCATCGCTGGAACTTGAAACCGTAATGACACTTGGAGAGGAGGGCGAATCTGGAATTTCAATCGGAGACGAAGTTTGTTTCGCTGGTGCATTTGACGACTCGCTCTCCTGGCGCACAAACCCCAGGGGACTCGACACTTGGTTCACCTCCCCGAATAAATATGTCCTTTCACCATACCTTCTCCTCCCCGGAGAGGATACCGTACGCCTCAGAGGAGCATGCCCGCTGGACAGTCCCATTGGTACGTGGGCGCTGGGGCCGTTTTGAAAAGTATTGGCTGACAGCTGCCAAGGCAACAAACCGGTAGGTATGTGAGGCCCACTCCAGACCGGTGGCGGGGCGACCGGCTGCTGCATCACGGGCATGACAGAAAACAGCACGGAGCCCGCGGGACGGGACCACTCGTGGCTGATGAGATGACGAGGCTGTGAAACAAAACACAACAGCAAAGCAGTTAACGACGAATGCAAAATAAATGTCACTAATTACCTCAAGCGAAGGCAAAAATCAATAATCGAAGAACGAATTTTGCACTGTCGCCGTCGAGTACCGTTCTAACTTCTAACCAAGTGAATAAACGAGGTTCGCCTAGAAAGATCCGTTTGAGTTAACTTTGTTTTACCGAAAATCATTTTGAAAAGACCATACATACCTCACGGGGGCGTTCAAATCCATCACTTTCCTGTTGAAATAAAAAAATAGGACACCTTTATCAAGGATCTAAGGATACGATGTTAAATAATTTCGCAACAAATTTTAAACAGCAGCTTTTATCATGTGATTTATAAATAAACAAATTTATTTGGCATGTCAACTCAGCCTGCCAAAACTGTGCACCTAAAATACAAAAGACCATGAAATAACTTCTGTTATGGACTTACCATGTGATACACGCCAGGGCTGGGTTCTGCTGAAATATAGCCATTGTCATCTGACCCTCGCCATGCGCCAACTGGCGGCGGGTTCATTGGTCGGCTGAAAAAAAAATCGTTTTCACTCATTTGAACTCTCTTGGACTCAATGTTTAGTTGCTACCCTCAAGAACGGAATCTAACGAGTGTTATGTGCTGGGATATGGCACCACTCCGAACGAATGAGCCAAAGGGTAGGAGGGGGGAATCGAGGATCGAAGAAGGGGACAGAGGGAGAAGGAAAGGAGAGAGCAGGTAGGAAGGAGGTGGGAGGCTGGAGATGGGAAGAGAAAAAAGAGAGGGGGACAGGAGAGGACAAAGAACAGAGGAGGGAGGGAGGGGAAGAGGGCTGAGAGAGAGCAAGGAGGGAGGGGCGGAAGGAAGGAAGGAAGGAAGGGGATAGGACAGGTAGAAAGGAGGAATAAACAGGAGTCGATGAATGTTTATACCTTGGGTTATCCATTCCTTGCAAGTTCTCAGGAATTATCGGTTGAACGGTTGATAAACCAACAGCTCCTGTCCAGTGAGGTAAAAGCTAAAAAAAGATGAAACAAAAACAAATATTTGATAAAAATTAATTTCCGAGAAAAATACAATCAAGTTCGTAAATCTTTCTGTTACCGGAAATGCAACAAAATTCAACCATACAATGCATTTTCTCTTTCTCTGAAAATACTACAATGCGAATCACCTCTCAAAAAGATACAAAATGAATCCAAAATGATATTGAGCCTGAGCATCATTTTAATAGCAAAGCAACATCACTAGAAACTCCATTAACTGTTTATTATAAGGAACGTTTTTGATAAACAGCTACCTGTAAAGCAGGATCTGAGCCAAACCGCTTTGGGGTCCATGTTTGAAGTGGAACACTCTAAGAGGGATACACAAAAACTGAATGAGCTTTTGAATGGATTAGACCTTTACCCAATGTGAAACTCAACTGCAAAGAGTTTAAAGATTTCAGCGAAAATTGGGCATAATATAATTCCCCAATAAACACAAATCAATAATTCTAAAGCACGAATCAATGAGCTTCAATGGGCGCTTTCGATTCGACCAAAGTTTCCGATTTGCTTTTCTGGAAATTTCCAGAGGCGAATTTGGAACAGCATTTTCGGAAATTTCCGGTAAAACAGGACAACCTCTCTTGGTATACCCAAATTTTCGAAAATCTCTTACTGGGAATCCCGTCCCATTTGATTTTCCTCCTGGAATTTCCGAAATTTTCGGTTGAGTGGTCTGTTTTTCGGAAATTCGACAATTTCCAGATTTTCTAGAGACTTTCTCAGGAGATTTCCGTACCATGTGTCCCTGTTTCGAAATTTTCGGAATTTTTGGTTGAATAGAAAGCGCCCAATATCTTTGAAGACCCAAGCCACATTTTCCTCCCTTTTGTCATAAGAGAACGGATATTTTCTTCGTTGCAAGATGTAACTGAAAATTCCATATTGTCACTACCCGTTTCTGGTTAATTAATTGCGAAACACTATAGAGTGGTTTTCAACTGAGTATCGTTAAACCAAAACCAAAGTAATCACTTTGGCCAATCACAAGGGACAGAGAACATCCAGTCAACCAATCAAAAGTAGAAGTAAATACCTGTGCCTGACGCCACAAAGCGCGGGAAAATGTGTGCGAGCGAGTCACGATTGGTTTTGGTGTTACTTCTGATTGGATAAAAATGTGGCGCGAGTTTTTTTAAGCCAATCGAATAACGTGTAATACAAAGACAAAGCATACTGATACTGTTTTGGATACTCAGAAGAAAACCGCTCTCAAATGGATAAAGACGGAAAATGATGGACACCTGAACAAAACCTGGTCTCCCAATATAAATTAATAAATTATTATTATTATTATTATTATTATAGTTACGCAATCGAAAACAAGGTTATTTCTTAATTTTTTAGTCAACTAAATCGATTGGAAAACAAACTGAAAGGTAGTTCGTATAGTGTGATCGTACGGGTGAGGGTAGTTCTGAAAAGAACTGTTGTTGGTGAAAGGTGTCAAAAAATCGAAGGACATTAAACTAAACGATTGCAAACAGTTTGGTTCATTGCACTTAGCAGAACTCACTTTAGCATAAAGACCAGAAGAGGCTGGTAGTGTGAGCGATGCTTGAGGGATGGCCATCGATACCACAACTGGCCTAGGCTAAAATAATAGTAGTAAAAAACAAACAAACAAACTTAAAATCAACACAAAAATAAAACACTGAGATAGAATTGGCTCAAAAGATGTCCAAGTGTTCCAAGCACAATTAATAATATTAACATCTTGGTTTTTAGAAAATGATTGTGAAGCCTTCGAGACCTTCCTCAATAGTGACGCGTAAATGTTTAAATAATGGAAACAGAGTTCACTTAGGAGCCCAGAGGAAAAGAGCAGACGTAATAGAGATATTTTGCCATGCTTCAAACCCCACAAAATATTTTCCTTGAAAACTTCTCAAATGATCAATAAGCTAACAGAAGATCTGATACCTGCTGAGGTGCTGCTTGCGGAGCAAACAGATGTTTTTGAGGTGAGGAGTTGTCTGGCTGACAAAGAACTGCATGCTGGGGGATGAAATGAGCGCCAAGGAAATCTGAAGTAGATGGTTGAAGACTGGGCTGCTGAAAATACAAAGTACAACATCAGGTTTGATTACAAGCATGAAGTGTACAGACTCAGGCAAAGGTTTGGGAGACATAAAAGTAACATGCAATAAAGCAGTACTGTGAAATTATTGTAGGACAAAAACTTGAGATAAAAAACGATGTCTTGATCACTCTGAGATCATTTTCAAGTTTAAAAAAGTGAAACTTTTGCATACATGTATATGAGTAAACTTAAGACATGAGAATTTGAAAGTGATACAAAGATGTACATATGCACTAAGCATTACAAAACGTAGGTGATAAAACTGAACTCTAAAATGCAAAAGGCTAGATAAGACAATAGGACTATGTTAAAAACTACAAATGATATAAATATAAAATACTCAGCGCTATAAAATAATCTGCACTGTAACATTATGTTGGTCAAATATATTCATTGCAGAAAAGAACGACAATCAGTTAAAATAAATATTGCAGTTTGAAGTCTGGTAACAAAACACAGCACATGCCATAACCATTTCCAATCAGCAAAACAAGATAATAATTACAAAAACAATATTATTACAGACTTTCAACATACCACAGCTTGAAGGGGAGCCACAGGTAGACCAGCATGGGCTGTGAACTGTTCTGCTGAGGGTTGTGGCAAGCCACTCATGTGATCTTGGCTGACCATGGCTTCGCTTCGCACCATTGGAAGATGAACGTACGAGCTTGTTGATGCTCGTGGAAGACCAAACAGAGAACTAGAAGGAAGGGCTGACGATTGGTCAGCTACTCCTCTGTTGTATCGGCAAACTTGCATGCTCTTTACTGCTAAATTAAACCTGCCAAAGAACACATTAATGCATTAGGTTTAACTATTCAATCAGGGCGTTTTTTCACGTAAAATTTAGCAAAGAATTCTCCCATTCATCACTGGAAAAATGAATTTTTCTCAAGGACACACACTTGACTATACACTTCCATTTTGGCTTGGCAAAACATCAGGGGACTTAAGATTTGAGTACAAGAACAACTTTTCAATTCCAGTTTGCAGGTTCAACATTATCACAAATACCCATCTCATCGCATGAACTACCCTCTCTACCTACAAACAACATGAACAGCGAGGGCTCTGGAAACATCGCTGGTTTGAAATTCAAAAATAGTACTCATAATCAATCTTGTAATTGTAGTCCAATTTAAAGGTCCCTAATAATAATGCAAATGTTATATTCCTTAACATGTACTAATTTAATCTCTGACAGGCTAAGAATTCTTGTTTAAAATCTCCCACTTTGATTATATATGCATCCTAATGATGAAAAACAAAACACTTTGTTTACATTGTGTTTGACCACTGTACTGGTGGAATTTTATCGGACTTGACCAAAGTTTTGATCAGCCATTGTTGCTGAGTGCTGTTTGAAGTTTTCCTAATCAGGCAATTCATTTTCCTGTACTTGTAAGCAAACCTTTGACTTAATTTTCTTGCTATCATTGTTTAATGAACCAAGTCCACTTACGTATTACAGTGAGCAAAGTCAACCAAACGAGCCAGAGTGATAAACGGATGTCTGAGGGCTTCATCTGGAGTGATCCTCTTGTCTGGATCAACAATAAGAGTCTTCTTCAACAAGTCTGTAAACTCATACCTTCAGAAGAAGAAACATGCAACTACCTTTAAGTCATTTGTTAAATTAGACTGGTAAAATGACACCACAAATCAACAA